TCACCACATCACAGTGGCTATGACCTTGGTGGAGAGCAGTCTGGCAATAACTATCCAAATAAAACAACTCCGCATATTCTTTGACCGACAACCCCATGCCTGGGAATCCATGCCAGAGAAATAGAGATGCGGACATTCCCACCCGCAGTGACCATCAGCATAGGCAGAGGAGTGGTTGAATAAAGTGTGATATACTTGTATCATGGCAGGTTACGCAACTGCTAAAAAAAAATTTCTTGACTCGAGGGCATTTCCACCCTCCATCTCTGCAAGATGCAGAGAAATGTATAAACTATGGTTCCATTTCTGTAAGAGCTGGGGAGAGAAATCTACGTAGGCATATATATTTACATCTGATTTCATGAGCATGAAGAGAGTATTAGAAGGATATAATCACTCTGCTAGCAAGGTTACCTGGGAGAAGGAGGAGAAGCAGGGGGTACAGATAAAAACAAACACGGGGAGACAAGAAAGAAAAATACGAAAATGGAGAAAAGGAGGGGGCAGATTAAAAGAAAAAAAAACCCTATCATTTCAAAGAAGGACAATTTCTGTAAAGTTACCATATGTGTTTGAAAAGGGCAAACATTTATCTCCACATAAATCTATTCGATGAAGCTTGTGAAGCCTGGTATTCAAATCTTCCATGTGTTTTTCTCGATGTTTTGACTGCTTGTTCTGCAAATTTCTAAGTTTCCCACTGAGCTGGAGATTATTTGTTTCTCCTCGTAATTCCATCAGTTTTAGGATTTTATATTTCAATCCTGTGTCACTAGACACAAGCACAAGGGCTAAACTTACTGGCAGGTTGACTGTTTATCGATACAGAGTTTGGTCTTTTCAAATAAGACTGATCATTGTGTGAAATCCATTTTTGCCTAATTCTATCATTGTCACTTGCTTTTCCCACTCAGTATTTCCAGTGCTACCCTGCTTTTGCTGTTTCTAATAAAACAGCATACAGTTTGCCTTTTTTTTTTTTTTTTTTAGTCAAGAGCATCTGTCCTTTCACAGTGAATTTAATATATTATTGATGGATTTGTATATTTCTACCAATTTACCTGGTGCTTTCTACTATACATGCTGTGTTCAAGTTTCTTTTTCATCTCTGCTCTTCAGTTTGTTGATAGCATTTTATTTGCTGCCAATTAACTTTTCTTCTAATGACTTAGAAAGTATAGGGGCACCTTGCTGGTTCACTAGGTACAACATGTGGATCTTGCTCTTGGGGTCGTGAGTTCAACCCCCACGTTGAGTGGTGTGGAGATGACTTAAATAAATAAACTTTAGGGGAACTTCGGTGGCTCAGTGGGTTAAGCATATGACTCTTGATTTCAGCTCAGGGCATGATGTCACGGTCCGTGGGTTCGAGCCCCACACTGGGCTCTGTGCTGACAGCTTGGAGCCTGCTTGGGGTTTTGTCTCTCCCTCTCTCTCTGCCTCTCCCCTACACATGTTCTCTCTCTCTCTCTCTCTCTAAGTAAATAAACATTAAAAATGTAGTAATAAAAGACTTTTAAAAAGAAAGTATACATTCTGTTTCTATTTATTTTTTGGCACAAGTTGTTAAGCATATTAATTCATACCTGCATCTTCATACCAAATAAAATGAGAACCTTAGCATGCTTTTACTTTTCTCTCCTACCTCCTTCCCAGTCTTCATACCTCCCCATCCGGTGTCGTCATCTCAGATTTTAGCTAATTATTACAAGTAACAATTTTTGTTTTGTCTTACATTTTGCTGGCTTTTTGCTTACCTCTGCTTTGCATATCCCACATTTTCGTCTTGGATCCATTTTCTCTTCATTGGACTATAACTCCTATACCAGTGGGTTCTCAGGCAGAGGCTGTAGCACACCCCTTCCCTATGTGGGGCATTTTGTGCCATCACAGTGGCTAAGGAGGAATTCCACTGTCAAGGACACCATGCAACCTGCAGTGGATAGGTCAGGTTTACATGATGAAGAATTGTTCCATTCAAATGCCAATGATACCCTGCGGAGGGATGCTATGAGTGTGAGTTGTAAGCATTTTTAGTCCATCTGTGTCTTAAAAGTGTCTGTGATGCCCCCACATTTGCTTGATAGGTTAGTTGAGTAAACATTCCTAAACTTGATAGTTGAGTAAACCAGAGAACTTTGAGGACATCATTCTACTGTTTTCTTGCTTACAAAGTTGCAAATGAGAAGGACTAATGTCAATTATATCCTCATTCCCTTCCAGGTGTGTTTTTGTTGTTTTTTTTTTTTTCACTCTGGAAACATTCAGGGTTTCCTTTTCATCCTTAGTGTCCTGACAGTTCAGGATGAGGTACTTAGATGTAAGCTTTTCCACGTTCTTCCTATAAATATTCACTAGATCCTCTTAGCATAAGCACTCATTTATTTCTTAAGTTCTAAGAAAATGTCTTGAATGATTATGTTGCTTCAGGGAATTTCCTTCTTCTGTTTCCTTCTCTTATTCTGTAACTCGCATGAAGCAGACAATGGACATTTGCAGCTGCCCTTCATGTCTCCATGCTTCGTTCCCACTTTCCATCTGTTTATTTCTTTGGCACTGCATTCTGGGAGAATGCCTTAGCTCAGCCTTCTGGTTCACTGCTTCACTCTTTAATCCATTTTGCTATTCAATCCATCTATTACGATTTTATCTTTAAATTTTTTTAATGTTTTATTTCTGAGAGAGACAGACAGACAGACAGAGAGCGTGAGCAGGGAAGGGTCAGAGAGAGAGGGAGACACAGAATCCGAGCCAGGCTCCAGGCTCTGAGCTAGCTGTCAGCACAGAACCTGACACGGGGCTCCAACCTACGAACTGTGAGATCATGACCTGAGCCAAAGTCGGACGCTTAACCGACTGAGCCACCCAGGTGCCCCTATTACGATTTTATCTTTAAAAGAATTATTATTTTTAGGGGCATCTGGGTGGCTCAGTTGGTTGAAGGTCCAACTCCTGATTTCGGCTCAGGTCATGCTCCCAGGGTCATGGGATTGAGCCCTGGGTTAGGCTCCACACTGAGCATGGAGTGTGCTCAAGATTCTCTCTCACAGTGCCTGGATGGCTCAGTCCATTAAGCGTCCAACTCTTGATTTCGGCTCAGGTCATGATCTCACGGTTCATGAGTTGGAGGCCCCACATCAGGTTCCATGCTGACAGTGCAGAGCCTGCTTGGGATTCTCTCTCCCTCTCTCTCTGCCCCTACTCCACTTGTGCTCTCTTTCTATCTCTCTCTCTCTCTCTCTCAAAAGTAAATAAATAAGGTTAAAAAAAAGATTCTCGGGGCACCTGGGTGGCTCAATCGGTTTAGCGTCCAATTTCAGCTCAGGTCATGATCTCACCGCTCATGGGTTCATGCCCCACATCGGGCTCTGTGCTGACAGCTAGCTCAGAGCCTGGAGCCTGTTTCAGATTCTGTGTCTCCCTCTCTCTCTGACCCTCCCCACTCACATTCTCTCTCTCTCTCAAAAATGAATAAATGTTAAAAACAATTTCTTAAAGACTTTCTCTCTACCCCTCCTCACTTTTGCTCTCTCTCTAAAATAAAATAAATAAAAAGAATTATTTTTATTTTAAGAAGAATCAAACTTTTTGATTCATAAAGCTGTTGTATGCTTTTTGAATGCTTTTTTTTTTTTTTAAGTAAACTCAACATGGGGCTTGAACTCACAATCCCACATCAAGAATCACATGCTCTACTGACTCAGCCAGCCAGGCAGCCCTTGTTGTATGCTTTAAAAAAAATTGATGCAATAGACTCTTTCATTTGTCCAAGATATTAATGATCCTTATTCTGTAGTCTGGCTCTACTTGCTCTCCTAACTCAGTTTCATCCTCTGTGAAGCAGGAATAATAAGTCCTACCACTGAGTTTTCATGGTGATTATTAGAATTAACATAAAACGATGGCTGGCATGTAGTGCATTAAATACCGAACTGATGAATAGAAAAAGCAAAATAGTAAGTGTAAAATACCCGGCACATACATAGTAGGTACTCATTAAATGAAAGTGTCTGATCATTATCCTCACTGATAGTATCTGCTGAGACAATGACATTCAAGATTTTACCCTCTTAGTTTTGACTCTGTCATAATACCACCACCCCTTCCACCCCCAGATCCGGGGCATGGACTGCTTCCTAACTTTGCCGAGGCGTGAATTTGAACTGTAAGCTGCAAGCCTGGTGAGTGGGAGTGAGAATGTGTCCAGAATCTGTCTCCCAAAATGGCTCTATGTTTTCATTTAATGTATGAAGCCAGCTAACCCTCACCACCACCCTGAAAGGCAGATGTCATTATCCCAGTTTCATGGGATGATAAACCTGAAGAAAGTACAAGCGGTGGTCCACAAGGCAGCAGTTTAGGAATCTGTGCGAGGCAGTCAGAGTTCTTTCTGACTCAAGAAATGGACTCTCTGAGCCTTAGTTTATTCTTCTGTAAAATGGGTCTGACAGTGGCTCTTTTGTCAATTCTGCTGGAATTCTACTCATCACTTGGCCTTTGATGTCAGGACCAATGAGTATGGTCCCTTCTGAGGATCAGAACCATTCAGGCTGAACTCCACCACATTCTCCCACTTCCTCTGAGCCTCCATTCCCCTAAAGCATCACACTCTGCAGGTAGTTAGCTAGCTGCCTATGCCTCTGCCCCCCCTCCAGACAGGGAGCAATTAGAAAGAAGTACAGGAGGCCACAATGATGTGATTTCCCCAAATCTTAGAAACAGGGCTGCCCTCTGATGACTACATAAGATAAATCAGAGGCCAAATTGGTGAGATGAGTTGCCATTGACCTAGGGGGCAAGTTGAAGACCAGCTCCGGTGGTGACGTGTTGCTAGGGCCATAGGAAAACATCACTCTTTTCCTAGGCATGTGCAGACTTTGTAATAGTTACAGCCCTCTTTTGTCTTGATCACAGGGACCGATGGGATCTTTCTTCAAAATTCAAATCACCTCTCTCCTTCACTTTGCCCTCATGGGGTGTGTGGTTCACTGTCCCTTGCCATGTCTTCTCACAAGATATTCAGGGTCGAGCAATTCCTGACCAAGAAACAAAAGCAGAATGGTCCCATTCCCCAGTGGATTTGGATGCAAACTGGTAAGAAAGTCAGGTTCAACTCCGAGAGAGGGCACTGGAGGAGAACGAGGCTGGACCTGTAAAGGATCGCACATGAGACGGCACGCGTATTTATGCTGCACAGAGGTCACGTGCTTCGATCCCACTGCTCTGTAAACATCACTGCTTCCCAAACAATAGATGTGGTTTTTAATGTTTATTTATTTATTTTGACAGAGAGAGAGAGAGAGAGAGAGAGAGGCAGAAGGAGGGGCAGAGAGACAGGGGGAGAGAGAATCTCAATCAGGTTCTGCACTGTCAGAGCAGAGCCTGACCTGGGGCTCGATCTTACATACCATGAGATCGTGACCTGAGTCGAAATCCAGAGGTGGGTGCTTAACCCGCCAGGTCACCCAGGCGCCCCCAATAGACATGTTGTATATGGGAGATTATTTTTCTCGGTTACTATGCTTTTGCAGCAGTAGGTTGGTTTGGTCATAAATACGTAAGATGTTTTGTTTGAAAAAAAGTCAAATCAGACAGTGCTATTACCCTGCTTACAAGCCTCGAGTACATTCCCATTGCGCATCGAACAAAACCTAGACTCTTCACAGCAGAGGTGACAGGCCTGCATTAGCTGGCTTCTCTCTACCCTCCTCTTCCCTTTGCTTTGATAATACAACCACCCAGTTCAAGTCAGGATCTTCCCTACTTCCAGGTCTTCCCACATCATGCTGTTCCTTCCACCTGGAACATTCAGCCTTTTACCCTCCACCTTTCACCCTTCACCTGGAAACCTCCTGTTCGTTTGTGAAGTCTCTATGCAATTATCACCTCCTCAGAGAGGACCTCTGTAACCAGGTATGTAACTCACCTGTTGGAAGGCAGGGAAGTGAACCTAAGCATTCTCCTATCACATGCACCACAGTGTAGAACAGACTTTATCTGTTTGCTGTCCCTGCTGTGGGGGGGCTGTGAACGCTCTGGGGACGGGCACCACGCTCTGGCTCGGCACACGGAACCAGCGGCCGGCATGCACTGAGCACTCAGCAAACATATGTGGAGAACACAGATGAATTCTCAGGTCGGGAAGTCTTCCTACAGCAGATAGGAGCCTCTCCACAGTTTCCTCCCGGGCCCAGAGCTCCAAGGTCAGGCCCACTGGCAAGAGTGGGCCCTTTGTTTCTTCTACGACAGCTGCCTCAGTTTCTCAATAGCTGTGCTGGACGAACCAGGTCAGTTCAATAAAACTTGTGACAGAGTCTATTGGAGCAAAGGAAATACTGACCAGGAAAGGAACCCCCATACGTCCTGGGGCTCCGAGCTCTAGCAGCAGGCTTACAGTCAAAGGCGGAGGGGTGAAGGCAAGGGACAGTGTGACAGAGGGACTCTGGTCAACAGGACCACCCCAATCTTACACACACACACACACACACACACACACACACACATAAACAACCCCCATTGACTGAATGCCTACTGTGAGCTAGAAGCTGGAACTTAACTTATTTTACCCCGTGTAAGTCCCTCACCAGCCCCATGAGTCAGTTTCTATTGTCCCTATGAAGATAAGGAATTTCAGAGAGGTCAGGCCAATTGCCTCCGAACCCACAGTAAAGATGACGATATTCAGCCAGTATAGCCATACCTGTTGTTAAAGTAGTGAAATTCTTCCATAGTTGTTGGTAAATAGTAGCTGCCTCAGCCCCGTGAGTGGCCCGCAGCCCTGACCTCTCCCTCCACCACTAACCTCTTCACTTCCCCACATTCCAATAACTCCTGGACACAGGAAGTAGAGGCAGAGAAATTCCCCTAGGGAATCTTCTCCAGGAGCTGTCCAGATCTTTCAGTGCTGAACTCATTCCCCAATGGCTGCTAAATACTTTACATCTATTGTTTAGCATTCTCTCTGCTTCTGCCGTAACCAAGATGCTAGGGAAGAGGATCCAAAGAGCCATGCTTATCACTGGCTGGGGGCTTATCTCCCATCCAGACAGATGGAGCAGTTGCAAGACCAGTCACCCAGAAGAATCTACAACTTCCCCCAACCGCCTCCACTTGGTTCCAGAAGGAGCAGACTCACCACGAAATCCTAGGATGCCTACCATTTTCTAAGAAATTATTGAGCCATTGCTGTGAGTCTGCTCTGAGTAAGGTTCTTTTTTTAAAACAGGAGAAAATCTAATCTGTGGGGGATCCACACAGACTTGGAAATTCTAAAGACATTCAGGCAACATGATACTTATACATATGAGCTAAGGCGAGGCGTAGGGGTCTGAGGATCCCAAGGGGAGAAAGACCTTTAGCAGGAAGGTGAATAGAGATGTTTGGAAAACAAATGTTGCCCTATTGTGCAGAGAAGTTCCTTGAGCCAAGACAAATCTCTGAATCTCTGTTAATAGCTCTCTTCCTGGTAAAGCAGGCAGTTGCAGGGGGAGGTAAAGAGCTTTCTCTGAATCCACTCAGTTTGGATTGCTTTTAACTCAAAATAATGTCCCTGCCAAAGTGGTCCATCTTGGGGCAGCCTGCCCTTGGCCCCCACGGTTCCCTCCTCTAAAACTTCCTTGAAATTTCATGCATTAAAAATTGATCTGGTAAATTGTTCTCATGGAACCATGTTCTCCATGGTCGCATGGAACCAGTCTTAGTCCTGACAAATAGGTCAGTTCAGTTAACTCATTTCAGGAGGTAGTGAAGCAAATGTGTTTTCAAAGTTGGGCTCCTGGTTCAAGAAATCAGATATTAAACAAGAGGCATTTCTATGGAAACAAAAGAAAACCAATGGTTAAAGATTAAGTCAAAATATAAATCCATTTGGGGTTCTCAGGATAGCCAGTGGAGCTTTCTAGAGGTCGAGCTCGAAGCATCTTCAGAGAGAGTAAGAGGAGGCCCTGGCATTCCAACAGATTTTCCTGGTTTGTGGTTCAAAGGTCTCTGGTGATCTGTGAATGGCCCACACAGCAACAGGCTTGAAGATTGTCTGTATATGAATCAGAGCGTTGGGGGGGTGGGGGTGGGGTCTGGAGCCGACAGCCAAGAAAGAACTCTTGAGACCTCTTTGGTGCAAAAAAGGTGATTTTATTAAAGCACAGGGACAGGACCCGTGGGCAGAAAGAGCTTCACTGGGGTTGTAAGAAGTGTGACCAGTTATATGCTGTGGAGTTGGAGGAGGTAAAGACAAAATGGAGGTTTCCAAAAGGACTTTCTAGGCTAAAGAGGACTCAAAGGATACCGGAGGCCTAGCTATTGTCAAGCTAAGGTTGTTTTTCCCTCCAGCCAGGTATTAACATTAAGACAGTAGGGAGTTTCCTGGAGAAGTGTTATACTCTTGTACTTGCCTCAAGTATTTGTCAATGGGCTGCAGGTTATAAAGAGATTTAGGCTTATTTACATTTCCTTCTTGCCTTTGTTCCCCACATCACTATGGAGGGGAGGATGATGTTAGGGCTCCAAGAAACTGAGTCTATGGGTTTCTGGAGGTTAGGCTATTGATAAGATTCTTTTTCTTGTGATTTACTAAGACATTTGTAAACTGATGAAGACCCATGTCCTGCAGGACTGTGATCTCTCCATCAGTTAACCATTTGCTTTCTCCTTTTCTTAGCTCTAGGGGAGCCAGCAGTGCCTGGGCAATGCCACAGGTATCCCACCCAAGGGGAGGAGGGGGTTTGTGGGGTCTCAGCTCGCCTAATGCTCCCTCATCAGTGTCCATTGAGTTAAAGTATCCTGCTGACTATACCAACTGTTCGGGAGGAGGAATTTCCTCTGCCTTTCAAAGTCCTTCTGGCTGGGGCGCCTGGGTTTCTTAGTCGGTTAAGCGTCCGACTTTCGCTTGGGTCACGATCTCGTGGTTCGTGGGTTTGAGCCCCGCGTCGGGCTCTGTGCTGACTGCCAGCTCAGAGCCTGGAGCCTGTTTCAGTCTGTGACTCCCTCTCTCTCTGACCCTCCCCTGCTCACGCTGTCTCTCTCTCTCTCTCTCTCTCTCTCTCTCTCCTAGAAATAAATTTTTAAAAAAAAGTCCTTCTGGCTGGACTTAGAATCAAATTCATATGAGGCAGATTAGCAGGAGAAAATCAAATTTAATAGCATAAGTACAGGAAATCCAGACATGGAAATTCCTGAGTAAGGGTCTTTACAAGGGGACTTGCCAGGGGGTGCCCCAGACATAAAGAATGGCCAGCGAGTGGTTTCCAGAGCGTGGGCATGAAGCTTTGAGTCTACTGTTCAAGCCCCAGATATGCCACGTAATAGCCATATTATAAATGACTTAACCACCCTGCGCTTCAGGCTTCTCTCGTGAAAAATGGAAGTGAAAATAATAATTTCTACTTCAGAGGATTGGGGTGAGAGTTCAATTAGATGTAGTATGTAAAGTCCCAGGAGTAAATAAAATTAATGTGAAATCTATAAAACAGTGCCTGCCCACTACTCTGTTATATTGGTAAGTGGTAGCTATTATTTTTATATACTGGGTGTGCTAGACATTTCTCAAATCTCATTGAATATGCTTCCCAATGACCTCCTGCCCTGCCACACACACACACACACACACACACACACACACACACACACACAGCTGTAGATGTTGAACACGACCTCCTACGCCAGCAGGGGGAGCTGGCCTCACACAAGAGGCTGCTGCACTCTCCTGCTGGGGCGGTCACCTGACTGCTCACCCCAATCTCCAAGATACCCTCCAGTCTCTTCACTTGCCCTCGCAAAAAATACACGATAAGCCCCAGTTCCTGGAAGAATGATCTTTGCAAATTAAATTATCGTGAGTTATGTGAACCCCCAACCTGCCGGAGCTGATGCTAGACTGGCTGTCTGCCTCTTGCCCTTTGCTTCCCACTTAAAAAACCAAGTCACCATGAATTTTCGTAATGATGCTTTATTCGTCTGCGTTAGTCATTTTTCTTCTCTTCCTATCTGAGGCAGAGAGTTGTCTTAAGGGAGATAGCACAATGCTGCAGAAAAGACTCAGGACTTGAAATTAGACAGACTGGATTTGAATGTTGACTTCACTACTTCATCAAACAACCCTGGGCCAATATCCCCACCGCTCTATGCCTCAGCTTCCTCCTTTGTAGAATAGAGGCAGCAA